CTCCAACGAAGTCTCAATTTCCATTGTAAAAATAGTGAGCTTCCTGCCACGTGAGGGGATCCCTTCTTCTTCTCCTTGCTTGATCCCTGTGTGACACGCGTTGAAAAGGATATCTGCGCGCCTCTTTGGCTTTCCTGTGCGCTCCCGGGATCCCCGAAATGAACAAAGAGAAAGAAAGAAAACAAAGAGCTCGTCGAAACTTGACTACGTGGTTGGGTCGCACCTCCCTGAGCGTTCCAGCGGTCCGCTTCCTTGGGGTCGCACCTGGCTTTGGGGAGCGATACTGTGCGTACACCATGCACTTTCCAACACTTATCCAGCATCCCTTGCGCTCGTCGCGACTGGTTTTTCCTAAAAATTGAATCAAAATTCGCAGTGGTGCGTGGTGCTCCACATTGGTTACGCGACACTTGTCCTAGTGTCTCTTCTGTGAAGTACTGTACTGTACAGCACTCCTGATTTTTCTCTACCAATTTCCCATCTGGCGAGGGCAGATCGCCGATGCAAATGTAATTTTATGTGCGATTGGCGACGCGTGGTGGCTTCTGCTACCAAGTCGAAGTAGCTTATTGTTCTGACTGAGTTCTTAGGGGTCTCATTGTTCCGTGCCGTCGTATTGGAAGAAATTCTCTCGCGACCCCTCGGGTGTCAACAAGCCTGCTGATCTGGCAGGAGCGTCGGCGTCCTTATTATGGTCTCTTCGCTTTCAGTTAATTCGCTTCTTCGTTGTCCTTTTACGGGGCTCTCTTACGTTGCCCATCGGTACTCGCGGTTCGGGTATCTTCTCGACCCTATGGTAAAAACAATAAACAGAACAAACGAGGAGAGTGAAAGAATTGAGAGTAGAAAGGAAAGTGGAGGGGCGGTTGTCACTAAATTTGAAAACCTTTCCCGATCAATGAGCAATTTCCCCTCGTTCTGTTGAACGATCTTGACATGTTTGAGGTGCGTCCTGTGTCAGCTTCGCGTCTGACTTGCTGGGTTTTCAATAAGTCTGCCGTTTTCGCCGAACTCTGGTACTGCTCATGCACAGTTTGTGTCATTGAATATGACATCGTAGGTGTAATCTTCGTTCGACAGACTCGCAAACTTAAAGAACCAGAGCCGTTGTCCGCGGTCGATGTGTATCATCGTAGGCCTTCGTTTCTCCGTTTTTCTGAGCATCCAAACTCTCTGCGCCTATGAAATGGGAAGTCCCTTGACTTGGCGCCCCAGACGGGTGCGCGTTCTTGACTTGTTCTCGTCCGTCTGTTGATCTGCCTTGAGGTTATGTTGCTCGCAGTCCGCGATACGCGGTTGAGTCGCCGAAGTCCTACAACAGAAACAACAAAAAGATAGAATAGAATCCAGTGTAACAAAACAAAGTAAAAAAAAGAAAAGGAACAGAGAACGAACAAAGAAACAAAATAATTGAAGAGAGGGTGTGGTGGGTGAGTGCTGAATGGATCGGTCGGCAAAATAGTACTGCGTCTTGTCGTCGACGTCGGTCGCTGCGGGGTTAACTGTAGCTGCATCCTCGTGATGGTGGTCCTTATGGACCGATGTCCTTGCTCGTCAATGGGGGGGAAACGTGTGTCAGTAGTGAGTGTGTCGATCGGTCCCCATGCGAGGTCGGGTGTCACTCGACCGCGGGACGACTGAGGATATTTAAGCCGTCGATTTTGGCAAGCGACAACAATTTTGCGTGCGGACTGCAGTTTTAGCAGTATTTCCCTGCTTCTCGATTATAATTTCGCAGCATGCGGGAATCGATTTCTCACTTGTGTCACCTTTTTGGCAGTTTGTTGTCGACACGCCCAATTTTTTATTACCTCATACACCACGAGAACGGACCGCCTGTTGGAAACGTCATTTCTCGTGCGTGCCGTGATGATGCGTGTGTGTTTTCAGAGAGGATCAATGCCTCATCCAGGGATACAGTTTCGCTTCTCTGCCTTGCTCTCCTTTCCTTCAAACTCCTTATCTGCAAACCTCGTAGATGCGTTCCTTCCTCGAAGTTCTGACCTCTCTGTTGTCTCTAACCTACTAATTCTATTTACGATGGCTATCCCGGTTGTGCGTGCGACGCTTGCGTAGGTAAGGGCAGCCTTTTCCTTCGGAAATACGTGACTACCGCGCTGAGGGGATCTGCTCAATAGGTTCTCACGTCGCGTCCTCGATGGTTTACCCATACCACCTCACTTTGAGAATTAATTTCTCCTCATCGTAGCCGTGGTCCACGATCTTGTCGATCACGCACTCCTGACTCGGCTTCTTCTTTGGAACGAAGACTGACAGCCCGCCTACGCAGACTCTTTAACTGATGCTCTGCTCCAGACGTATGCCCATTGCGTTCGACAAATCTGAATCCAGCTCCTGTGATCGCTTTCTTGGATAAGCGACAATTCCAAGAGAAGTGAATACAAGAATGTCGTTATCGTAACCCCGCTTATCTACTTATAAGTCTCTCGTCATATTTCTGGTTCGATTACGTTCGAACATTTTTTATGGCACGACCGCTCAAGCCCCAAGTCCTTTCTATTATGATGTCCACTTGGACGTTTTGAAATGGCATATGACGGTACTGTATCGCTCAGTTGTGTCGTGTCCATCTCGTGTCATGGACATGCAATGTATTAAGTGTCTTATGTCTGTCTCCTACATGCAAAGTTTCTATTGCATGTCTCATCTCATCTTTCTGTTTCCATTTGTATCATTCTGTTTATTCCAACCTCACGATGAAGCTTATGTCCAAGAATATGTTCTGTACTTAAGCTGTCTGTCTGCTAGTGGAGTTCAGTTTGAAGCAGAAGTTACCCGTTCCCAGTTCTTGCTATACTTTCTTGTTCCGTTAAAGTTATCTCTGCTCCGATTCTACTGTTCCCCCGATCGTCGCCAACTTCTCTTAGCTACTACCCCATGAGGGACGTTTTGGTTGTAGGACCAGTTTCGGTACGCCTCCACTGTTCTCGTATACCCGTCTCGGACAAGTTGACCACCCCCGGACGTGTGGCAGGACAGCGTAGTGGAGACGGTAACCCTCGCCGGCGATAAGATTCGTGGTAATTATCGATCGCGGGGACGGCCTAATGAAAGGGGGGGTTATGCAGAGCATTGTATCGCCCCATTTTATAACGGTACGAGAAGCACAAGTGGCCCCTTCCCCTATTCAGGTGGCTCCTCCGATTGATAGTTGTTCAATGCAAACTCAGAAAAATGATGCGATCCAATTGTGGTCGATCTAATCGTGAATAAAGAGGAACAGAGTGAACGAACGAAGAAATGATGGCGTGAGGTGGCAGGTGGGATATCAAGAAAGAGGAGATGTTGAATTTTATTTTTCTTTTATTCTCCCACTCTCCAACTTTGTATGGTTTCAAACTACAGCGTTCATTGGATGGTTCTTAACAAGGTGTGACGAATTTTGAAAGACTGTGCACAGGGAGAGGGGCGTGAATAGGGACTTGATGATGGGGCACGGCAAGAAGGGGTCATCGAATTTATTGTTTCCGTGCTACAGAAGTTTGCGCTGCTGCAAATCCCTGGAACCATTATACGAATCGGCTCCTGGGCTTTTCTTCATATCTCTGTAAGAAAAGCTAGTGTCTAGATGACAAGTGACCTCATATGAGGCTGCATTTGAACTTACTGTTCCCGATTTGCGCTTCCTCAACAAGAAGGAAATTGATACTCTTGCCACCGCAGTTTAATTCGGCGTCTGCTTTGCGGAAGGATGGAGTTTGGTGAGACCAGCCAGCCATTTTTAGAATGCCTAAAAAGAAGCCTTTTGACCAATCTCAAAACGTTGTATGTTGATATCTTCGAGACCAAAAGGCCTGTGTAAATGTCAAATAAAATGTCAACCGGGTATTGAAACTTGGTCAGATTTTTAGTCTTTCTATATATTCACAACTACTATGCCAATGTTTTGCAATATGTTATTGCCGAGGGGATGCACGTTAAAGAAATGGCGCCGAAACTGACTTTATAAAGTTTGGATTTAAAAACGTTGCCCGTAAAGTCACGAAAACGCGTGTTTTGGCGGCGAGTTTGCTTGAATTTTCTGAAAGGCAAAATTTTCAAACAACGCGTTTGGCAAAACTCACAGCATACCGAAAACTCGGGGCATGTGAGTTTTCCGCGAGGTTCACATCCGCCTGATCACAGCAGTGCCGGATCGACCCGTCTTGAAGGAAAACAAAGTGGGGTTTCCGTTCTTTTCAGCACCACAAACGAGTCTCAGACTGCACGGGTCGTGTCGATACGCGTCATGGACGCCCCTATCGCTTCATCTGCGCAGAGCCCATCAATGGATCAAAGCGCGACAGGATCTGCCACAGATGCCGCCGAAGCAACCGCGAAAGATACACAAGTAGAAGCTTCTAACAAGCGGGCCTCTCCAAACGGCCCCCCTCAGCCTGTCAAGAAGACGAAACACACCACCCTTTCGACTGAGAACCTTTCTATCCTTGTGGCGAGCTACAATATTCGCTTCAGCGAGTATTCGCGCAGGTGCACATGATCCTTCGGGCGGCACAACGATGTACCAGACTTGCGTTTGTTGCGGGCAGGTACCTTGAAGGAGGTCAGTCCGCAAAACTCGTGGAACTTTTCAATCTTGGGTTTACTTTACGTCCAGCGAGTTTTTCGGCAAATGGAAAAAAACGTGTTATTTTACGGACAACGTTTTTACGTCATGGCGTCATGCAGTATTTTGTAATGCAACGACACTAACATGCTACTGCTAACAAGCAGGCGGTTATCATCTTCCTGCCCTTTTCGCGGAGGGAAATCCCAAGAATAGACTTGCACAGTTTCCATACTGTACGCTGCATATATGCTCAAGGCGCGGAGTGCTCTACTTCTGTACAATCTCAGTCTCGACACGTCGCATCCGCTTCATCTTTATCTGGCCGCCCGGAATGGCACGAGTGTTCTCAATGGAGTCCTCGAGGAGTGGTATCCTTGGGGAAAAACAGCCTCAGAATATTTACTGCCCGGTTATTTTCTCGAAACGAAGCTTAGTTTATGGCCTCTTCAGGCCAGTCCGAACCTGTATACTGTTTCTTATTGTCTTCATCACATACAACAATGCATGAATCCTCTTTGGATATCCCAATGAACCTCCTTGATGTCTTCCTTCCTTTAAATTTGGAAGCTTTCTCTACAACGACAAGCTCCAGAATTTCCGGGACCGAGGAAAACGTGTTGTACTCACTTCGACCTTTCAGCAGAACCACACGCACCCATGAAGCAAGGGCTAATACCACAAGCACCAGTGCAGTTGTCGCCAGAACTGCGAATGTAGGTATAGCTATCCTAAGATCGATCGTGCTGACGTTCCTGATAGCCTGTTTGCGATTAAGAGTGACGTTCTGCAAAACTTCACTCACCGCCATGCTGCTGAGTCTAGAAGGTCCACCATTGAACCCAACTGCACTTAGGAAGGCGACGTTGGCAACATACCCAGCTGGGTCTCCCTTGGCTATCGCCGAGGGAATTCTATTGCTTTCTTCGTTCATCGTTTCGATGTCCGGTATGAGGACTACGTAGTAAGCTGTTCCCGTATCGATTTCGGAAATGCCCCATGCCGCACAAGACGTTCTATCAGTCTTATAGCAGTACATATCTTTCACTTCCATTGGGCACGAGTCTATAATTGGCTCAACTTTGCGGGGACCACCCGAAGCAGGGCCTTCGCCGAAGGGGTTATCGATGGCGTCAAGAACGCAATCTAAATCAGCGCTGTTGCTCATTCTGTATGAGCGGCTCACCCAGGACTCGTTGAATTGTTTCTCGTTGACACAGATACCGCCGGGGTAAAGTTGAACAAGTTCCTCTTTCTTGTCATCTAGAGTCAAGTCTCTGTATGCATAAGAATACACGAAACCGTGGGTAAAGTTTTTTTCCGTACATCGGGAAGGGTCCGTAAGTGCAAGAATACGTTTGCTGACCATTCGTTTGCATGAGTCGCCGCTACACCCAGGAGGCTGTAGTTCAAATTCGTTTGCGAAATCGAACTTCGTCGGCATGCCTGTGAAATTAACAACCGCCCCATACATCCTATTTTCAAACTCCGGAACTGTTTCGCCATTGATGCAAAAGCCCAGAATAATGACAGCAGCAGTAGAGAGCATGATGAGAAAAGCAAGAAAACGGACGAGCAGGATCGGGCCAGTGGGTCCCCCGGTTAGTGCTGCCCATCTGGTGGTTGCCGGGCGAATGGGGCAGCGATAGTCGTAGAGCAAGGCAATATTTGCAGCTGCACAGAGTAGTTGAGCATGGTATCTGATAATGCCCAAGAGAAGGATGTCGAAAATCAGAGCTGCGAATCCCGATACCAAGCTGGAGTTAACCTGGAGTGTGAGGACGGATTCGCCATTGATCGAGTTCATATGGGAGGATGAAGCGCGTCTTCCGGACTTCGTCCTAAATGAAAACTCCAACCGGGGCGGGCATGACGTGAAGTGCGGGACTGATTAAGTAGTGAAGTTATTCAGAAGGCAATCCTTCTTGCGAGAGAATTAGTTCGCGCATATTGAGACGGTTTTAGCATGCCTGCCTACACAAATTGTGATGTGTTCGGAAGGTGCGTTACGTTTTGACGCGCAAAATCCGCATCTGTTGTCGAGAGGGTTACGAATGCTGTGCCTTCGAGTGTCGCCTGCTGCGAGGGGCAACCATGAAGCCCTAGTGTCTAGCCGACAATTTTCCTCATTTGAGATTGAGGTTCAACTTATTTTATTATTTTTATGAGGTCAAATGGCCTCATTTGAGGTCACTTGTCCGCTAGACACTAGGACGGCGGTTTACCTGTGCAGCGAATCCTGTATACAGTATTTCCGTCAAGTAATTGAGAGGCGGCAACAAACGCGATCGATCGTGGGACCTGCGACTTCTGTTTATGACATTGTACGCGTCTCTGTACACGCTAGCGTGTACCACTGAAGGGTACAGCGTCGCCGTCGAGCATGCAATGGCCGTTGTAAACGGAGCACCGCCGCCGGGTTGCTATCTCGCATCCTATGCTGCCCGCAACGGTGGATTCAATGAGCAGCTGCCACTACAGTTTAGTCGGGATCGGATCATGACACGCTTGGATTGGGCATCGCAGAACCAGTTCTTTGTTTTCTTCGATGCCGATATCATTGTCACTGCTGCTTCGGAGTGTTTTTTTGCACACATGCGTCCGCATTTCTAGCGCTCGCCGTGGCATCCCTTTTCGCTTTCTATTTCTCCCTTCTCATCTCTGGACACGCTAGCGCGTATAAGGGTGAAACTCCCCCGAGAATAGCGAGCGGTTATAATTCGCGTCGGCTAACCGAGCGTACCTTACCGTCCAGCGTGGCTGCTCCACGTTATTTATGGCTACCTCGTGGGCTTCCCGCTATCCGTCTCCCCCCGTCATGTCTTTTTCTCTTGCCGGCCCAGCCCCGGCTGCGCCGCCCTTTTGGTCATTTCCCTTTCTCATCATGTCTTTTTCTTTTTGTTCTATGTTTTTTGTTCTAGTTCGGTATATTATTATTATGTTTTGCGCAGCCTTTCATTGTCTTACGGAGCCGATGTCATGTGGCCAAAACCACAACCGATAAACTGCACATATCTCCAGTAGGGGAAGTGAACTCCGCAGTCCTACTCCGTACAATGCTTACAGCCAGCAAAGAGTTCAGTACATCATACGCATTATAAGTATTGTGGTTCCCACGGAGTTAATTGCTTGGTTGATCATATGCTACACTTCACAAGGCCTCATACAGTACAAGGCCACTGTTCATGGACATTGTTTTGCGCCTGATCTTGAGATCGCCTGAGACCAGGCGTCAAGAACAAGGATCCGGGAAGACGCCAATCAACTTTGTGCATTGCAATATGATCTCAACTCTGCCGAATGGTATCTTTGAAACAACAACTTTTGCAAAACGAAGCAAACTCTGTGATTAATGAGCAATGCTACTACAGTGGATCCTCGCTAACTGCATGCTCGGTTTCTGCATATTCTCGATTACTGTACTGCATGCGTTCGTCAGCCACCGGCTGCGGAGCAGCGATTCCAGCCTGTATATGATATTGAACTGCATACCGCATACAGTAACTGCATGAAGAAAGTGATCCTTAATCATATTGAACCCTCATACAAAGGCTTACTATGAAACAGGTAAAAACTTATGACAACAAATATGCAGTGCAGTGCCTCGGACCGCCAACGGTGCTTCATCACCACCGTCGGACGCGGATATCTGATTTTTGAATAGAAATGAGGCGTTTGGATCACTTCGACAAGTGCATATGTTCACCAACTGCATACGAAAACCCTCCACTTTTCATATGCAGTTAACGAGGATTCACTGTACTGCGTTTTTGCCTGCAATGAGGCGGGCCTTACTCTTACCAGGGTAGTGCCGCTAGAACAGCCCATGGTGACTACAAAACTCAACCTTACGCAAAACGGTAGAGGCGAAAGTAGTGTGCCATCCTTACCATCCAATCTACCTTTTGTCATGTCTGCTCACCCTAGCAATCATTCACGTATGGCACAGTCTTCTGGAAGGCTCAGATGTTTGACATTGCCACTTGATGATGCCAAGTAAGAGGATGTCGAAGACTAAGGCAGCGATGCCGGAAGCAAAGTTGGAATTGACGCTAATGCGCCAAAGATTCGAAGTCGCAGCATTGTACAGTAGTAATAATGAAGCGCAATGGACAGGAAACGACGCACGGCAGTGAGGAAGAGTCATTACTCATGATCGTCTTGACCAAGTGGTGTGTTGTTCGGTGTCATACTAGTATGACAACCTTTCTAGTAGGCATGGTCGATTTGCACAGTGATTATGTGTTCTCCGTTGTGCCCTTACTGTACCTGTGGAGCGCGAAGCATGTGACACGTGGTTGGGACCGGTGTAAGTAATTGGAAGTTTAAGTTAGTAATTGTAGACCGCGCGCAAAAAGGGTATAAATGCGGTGGTTTTCGGTCGTCCTGTACGGCCGAGGGCAGAGAGACATCACATCACAAAAAAACACACACGGGTAAGACACGGGACGACGTACCCCGTTTCCACCCTAACATGGTACTCTTGTGGAGGGCCGACGCCAACAGTCAGGCGGGTCCCGCTTCCCTGGTGTTCGATGGTAAGCACGAGGCGGATGTCGCCAAGTTCTTCTTTGTCTACGAAAACGTCGTAATGAAAGGCAAGTCCGACGAAGACAAAGCCGGAGAGCTACTGTGCTACCTGCAAGGGGAGGCTTTCGACTACTACTATGAAACGTACAGCCAAGATGGTGGACTGAACGAGGCAGCCAGCGACTACCAAGCCGTCAAGAAGGCATTGCTCGACCGTTTCGAGTCAGTCCCTGAACCGGAAGAAAACATCAGGCTCGCAGTCGCGAGTAGGTTGGACGGCAACGACGTGCTCGCGCCGTTAAACGCGATGGATCGCCGCTTCGATAAAGCAGCTTTTAACCGCGAAGCCAAGTTCGGACTACTCCGGAACACGGTCATGGAGCACACCGACGTGTCACAGTTCGTCTTGTATAGGGCACCTACCTCGTACGGGGAGCTGAAGAAGGCCGTTAAAGACTTCGTGTCTGGCCGCAAAGCCTTTATGGCTGCACACAATGCTAGGCAAACTCAGCCTCCGGCGCCTAGGCGCATTCTACAGAGACCGGAGACACGCCAGGGGCCGGACAAGATCGAAAAGAAAGTGGACGTGCTAGCAGAACGGTTAGCAGAACTTTCTTTGTTGGTAAAGAAGAATCAGACAGCAGATCAAGGTGGCCAGGTCCGAACCTGCTCATCCTGCAAGGAACCGGGGCACGGGGCCAGCCGATGCCCTTCTAATCCGCGCCGAGACACTCGTTGTTCGAATTGTGGGAAGCTTGGTCATGAAAAGGAGACGTGCTGGACCAGGCTTAGAACGGCGTTGCCGAGGGCAGGAGCCACGACTCAGTCCACAGCACCTGCGACAGAAAGTGCAGGGAATGCCCAGGTCACCTATATTGACGAGGCAAACGACGGAGAAGTCGTGGCCGTCACTAAGAGAAACGCAGACGGGGAACCTCTTCCCAAGCAGCACAAAACGCGGGAGGAGGTGTCCATTCCCAGGCTTCTGAACCCGCCTGTACCATTCGAGATGCAAAAGAGGGCTCTACCACTTCAGGCGGGGCCAAGGAGGTCCCACCAGAGGAAGAAAGCGAAGAAATTGACCAGAAAAACATCCCTCCAGGAGTATGTGAGGAAGTATAATGTCGTTTCGGAGCTTGCAAACGCATCTTCCGGACTCACTTTCGGACAGCTTGTTCGCGGCGATGCGGAAGTGGCAAAGAAGGAGATAGGCCGCTTGTTTGCGAAACAAAGAGTCCGTGGTCGTGCTTTCGCAGGTCACGCCGATACAAAGTCTCGAAGGCTGCGGCTGGTAACTGTGAAAGTTTATGGGACGGAAGCTCAAGCCCTGTTAGATTCTGGGGCCGTACCGAACATAATCTCGCCAAAGTTGGCGTCTAAGCTTTGCCTCTCCCCGCAACCGACTGAGAAGCATATCACGGCGGCAGATGGTGCTAATGCGCCCTGCCTGGGATCGCTTCATCAGATACCAACATCGTTCGGTGAACTTATCGTGAAGTTGGACTTCCTAGTCGTGAAAGGATCGCCGTTCGACCTGATCATAGGGCTTCCGACCCTTGAGGGACTACAGGCATGCATCGATCTTGGTAAGCAACATGTGCAGATGACAGTAGGTGAGAATACCACCAGATTAGGCCTCAACATGGATGTGGAACACGTTTCACGGAGTGCAGCCTCAACTGATAGTGAGGATTTCACCTCTGACTCTGAGGCTGTACCTGGCTCGTCTACGACAAGCGACAATGAATTTGTCTTGGCGACTCTTGACCAGCCACCATTTGAACCTGATTTGGGACTCACCAAGCTACCGGGTGGAGCCGAAGATGAATTGGATGGTCTTCCTGATCTAGTGAAAGAGGGCCTGAAGTCCGACTCCGAAAACGCGAAAGGAGATGGCAGAGTAGACGAAGAAGGCCCGGAACGGCTTCAAGTAGCCCTTCTCGGGGAGAAATTGCGCCACCTGGCTTTCGAGGCCAGGGAGAGCATTGTGAATTCTATCCTGAACTCAGGGATCGTAGCTTGGTCACTCGACGATTTAAGACCGGCAGATGTTCCGGTGTCTCACTCGTTTGAGCTAGAAGATCCAAGCCCCATTACTCACGCTGCACGTAGGCTTCCGCCACGCCACAATGAAGTGGTACGTGAGGAGCTTCGTAAGATGTTGGAGGCGGGAATAATAACCCCCTCCATTTCGGCCTGGTCCTTTCCTATCGTTATCGCATCGAAGAAAGACGGAAAACCCAGGTTCTGTGTAGATTACCGCACCCTCAATCGCAA